TTAACTATGTTTTTTGGTTAGGGTAACTTTTCAAATGGTTGTTTCAACTCAACAGTTTTTTCAATGTAAAATGGTGTCAAACAACATCAACAATAAGTTTTATAATAAAGCTATTTTTTATTACAGGCTTTTATTTTAACATTATGACATCTTCAAATATGCAATAAAATATTTTGAAGGTAATGTTAGTATTTTAAAAAGTAATCTACTTTTAAATGATGAAATTAAACTGTTATTTTAAAAATGTTTTTTTAAATAAAACTTTTATACAGACTAGTTACACGGTAAAATCTATTTTATAGCTATTAACAATTTGTTAATATAGCGACAAAATTATCATAGAATAATTAACTCATATAAATGGGAAAACTATTATATCTAGTTGGAATTACTAAAATAAATGTATCTAACTATTTTTATAATTGGCTCAATTAAATAAATAATTCTCCTAACTATACAATTATTTCGTCAATAAATTAAACATTATTTTCGGTCGTAACTATAAATTTTTTTCACTGTAAAGGCTAGGCGCAAAAAACTAACTAGTAAAAATATAATTTAAACAGAGTAATGCTTTCTATTTAATAAAATACCATATTAACCATAGATAAATTTAATGAATACTTAATAATTGATAATAAATATAATTTAAAAACCTAGTGTATATGTTAATTGATTGATTAATCCATATAATTAATATGTAAGCAAGAATTTAATTTTCTTTGTATCCTAATTGAGTACACAGTTTTATGAAAATCTATCTCTTTTAAAAATTTTGATAACATATTATACATTTTAAAACGACTCTGCTCTAATTTTAAGGTACGTATTAACACGATATATTTTCTGAAGCTCAGTTTTCTATATTCGGCGTATTAATTATAAATAAATAAATACAATTATGTATAACGTGTGTAAGTAAATTTTAATGAAGTAAATTCAATATGATTAATATTAATTTTTAATTAACTTCATTAAAACCATATTATGGTGTTTATATGATTATATATGGTTTGGTTATATGCAGTCGCAATATTAATAAATTGCAAGTGACTCTAGCACGATAAACTAACAACATCGTGCACACATTTTTTGTACCTTATTTACAATAGAAGGAAATCCCTCTACACTAAAGCATTCATAAGACCCTAATACAGCGCTTTTGGGACAACACTAAAAAATGTACGTTGTGTTTCACAGGACATTTCTTTTTCATTCTGAAAAAGTGTTAATCTCATTCAACAATGTTCCCTTGAGAGATACAGTACAATTTTCATAAGAACCGGTATCATTAAAAAGCATGAAGTGCATACATTCTAAATTAAAGTAACTAAAATTTTCGCATTATTCATTAATATTAGTATATTCTTAAGAGTTATAAATTTAGAACAATTAGCTTAAAAATTGAATATATCGAATTTTTTCTAAGAATATCACGTTGCTTAGTTGTTATAAATGCAAAACATTCATTAAATCATTTAATTCATTAAAAAGAAATTGAGTGTTCATAAGCACAGTAACACATTAAATTGGTGTAATTGTTGGAATACAATAATTAACAAAAGTACAACAATAAAATAAACTATTCTATTCTATTCTAAACAGTTCTTTATCAATATTATTATTATAACGTTTACAAATAAGCTAAGTTAAAAAATAATAAATACATAACAAATGAAAACATACTCTTTCAAAATTAAATCACGCCGCATTTCCAAAAACAACTAATTTTATGTATCAAATATTTCTTTAAACATATAAAATAAATACTAACGATAATAATTTCACTTAGCTTAATAAAAAATAAATTTTAAGTTGAGATACGAAAATGTGTGGGTGCACTTAGTTGTCCTTAAAATACTACCGTAATTGAAAATTTATTATTGGTTAGCTTTACATTAATTTTTCAATTATGCTACTCATAATATTATATTTTACTTGTGATATAACATAAAATACTTAATTTATTCAGTAATTAATTTAGTGTTTTAGATTTTTTTATTTTAGTAGCTGTAGTAGATTATAATCAATTCGAATAATTCAATAAAATCAATGTAAACTGTTGATTTGTCCAACCTTCTTACATAAATATTATTTTCTTAATAATGATAACATCATTAAATAAGATATTATTATAGAAAAAAAAATGAGTTATTTCTAAATCTCTTTTAAACTTTCGATTCCCTATATCACCCTAAGATTTATCAATAATGAAAAAATATTAACTTCAATAATATTGATAATAATTTAAAAAAATATACAGTCAACTTCTTATTTTCATTTGATAATTATAAATGTTATTTCTTTTTAAGATATATTTAGTAAAATCGTATTTAGTTTATAGTTTATAGATGTAAGAAAAAAATGTTCAAACGATTTTATTCTTGTAATATTTTTTAGTTAATGAACCGTTTGGTTCATCATGATAATAATTTAAACGAATTTTAATAGACATTAGTATTATGAAAACACAATATAATGATTTTCCATTTAAAATCCAAATACTTATAAAATTTTAAAACACAAACGGTTTGTCAGACAAAATATTTTAAGAATAAAATTTTTTGAACATTTTTTTTTTATCATATAATCAAACCAAAAATAAGGATTTCCATTTAAGAAAATTAAAGTTTAGGCTTTTGTGTTTGAATTAATGAAAAAAATTATTTCGCTACATATTATTATAGAGTTTTTAAATCAAACAATATCATTCTTTACAAAAATTTAACATTTACAATAGTTTCTAGAGTGTCTTATCCTCAAGCGATCACTCTGTATAGGTCTTTCATAAGGTATTCATTGTTATTATTTTTTATTATAACAGTACCCAAAAGTGGTTACGTCGAATAAAGATAAATCATACTATTCTTGTAAACAGTAAAAATGAAAATGAAAAACTTAACTCATCAATAAATGCTTACTGTTATTTTTTCTTTTTCATCTTTTTTTTATACTAATACGAAAATTGTAAGTACAAAGGCATAGCTCACCTAACTCCAAAAGGTTTGTCACTATAAAGATTGTTTAAATTGAATTTTCCTGCTACTACTGTCATCAAGCATGATGAATGATGACATTTCAACACAGTTTTCGCTTAAAATTGCTTGGCATAATTTTATAATAAGACAATTTTTTTAACAAACTAACATATGGGAATCACAATGACATTTTTTTAGGACAAAGGGTTGATAAGACCTTTTGTTACAAAAGCCGTGTTACAAAAAAAAATGTAATTTCTTGGTTATTCAATAGACAAATATATTTTTTCAGATAGTTCAAATGTGTCTTAAACGAATAAAATTGTAATAGAGAGTAAATAATAACAAAAAATACATTCCGAAAGAATTCTAAAACAAATTAAATAAAATAAAATTTAATGAAAAAAATTATTATGTAAACCATGAAATTTCTTTACATTTTACATTTAAAAACTCTTGTAACTTTGAAGTTTAATATGAAAAAAGTCAAATTTCTATAAATTTAAAGAGTTAATAAGTTTTTAATACTTTGTAATATATTGAGATAAAAAATAATAGAAAATTTAAATTATTATCAGTTATAAAACTCAGAAAAACACCTCTAATGTAATAAATTAATTGTTATATATTATTATATCCAAATAACATGATTTAAATAATAAAAAAAATCTTTTTTTTTAACTAAAACCCTAATAGTTGATTAAATGTCTTTAAAAAACTCTTTAATATGTATTAACTTTAAATATTAAAAAATATGTTTTTAAATAAGAAAATATATATTTTATTATTGATATAAAATATAACATAGACTGTAAAAATATAATTTAGTTACTGGATGTTATTTATTACCACAATGCACTATAAGATTATAAGAAACTATTAATAGTTACCAGTTAGTTTTTAACTTATTAAGTCATATATTTTATTTAATCCAATAATAAAATATACTTGTTTTATATTATTATTTTATATTTCTTAGTTTTCATAAATATAAAAAAAACTGTAGTCAATTATTTAAGAAGTTATAGTAAACTATATCAATGATCTTTTATGTTTTATTTTTCATAATGTAATAATTTATTTGAGAAAACTAAATCTCTAAAAATAATATATTACAAGTTCGTTTTATTAATAAAAAGACATACAATTTCTTTTTAAAATAGTTTAAAATTAAAATAACTAAAAAGAAACGTACAGTAAAAGTGAAGTAAAAATTAAAAAGTTATATAATGGTTAATTTTTCAATATTATTCTGTTATCTAGTGAAATAATACATATTTTTTCTAGTAATTCTTATCAATATTGTAAGCTTTTTTAATAAGTGTAGCGCTAAATAGGTCCAATCGAATATTTTATGTTAATATTCTAATTCAAGGTTAATTTGGNATCCAATAATAAAATATACTTGTTTCATATTATTATTTTATATTTCTTAGTTTTTCATAAATATAAACAAAACTGTAGTTAATATTTTTAATATTTATGTTAATATTCTAATTCAAGGTTAATTTGGTTGAACATTATTATGATAAAATGTTCATTAAATTATACATTAATAGAAGTATTATTAAATTAAAACAAATTTACATTATAATAAAAAAATCTACAGTCCGCTTCAACTTGGCAAACGTATTATTACTTATTTATATTATTACATCAAAAAAATTCAATGCTAGAATGTTGTCTTTTAAATATGATTTACTTTAAATAAATATCTCTTAGTTTTAATTTTATTAAGCTCGAAAATACGTCCAATCTTTTATTCAATTCCACTTCAAAGCGTATTAGACTATCATTTTATATTTTACATTGACTTTTAAGGTTTCATTGATGCATTCGGATTTTATTTCACTTAAACCACAAATTATTCATCCAAGTAAAGTGCATGATGTACAAGATAAACTTTAATCCTATTAATTTTGTTTTATTATTCACTTACGGCACGTGTATACATATTTCTTTTTTTGATTTTGTACAGTCAAGTTGCTAACAATTATTTTTATTTAAATATTTTAAACATACCTGAATAACAACATCGCAACTTAATTGGATGAGAAAACACCGAAGGTTAAATTTCCGTAGCACGTGATTTAATGGTATTTCGAATTTTGGACCGTAAAACAGACTTTCGAACGGTTGCGACGGACGGGCGTCACTACCAAAGTTTAAAGCACACTGCCTCGGTAATAACCATGTGCCATCTCAGCTGAGCACCGCCTACGTGTAAACACGCCCCCACCTATTATTCTTAAACCTACGACTATTAAATTTCCTCGTTTTTGACAAATTGACAAGTAAACAAAAAATTCAAGTTCGTATAAACTTCATTTAACAATGTTTTAAAACTTAAAAACTAAAGCTTACCTAATTTTTAGTAAATAAATGTGAAAATATTGTTAAATAAACTGTTTTAAAATTATTTTTTTTATTTGTTTCCAAAATCTGTGTAACGAGTTTATCTTATATTTCAACGATGAATAAATTTTGAAAACTTGAAAAATATATAACTTAACTAAACATTGAATATTGATAATGAAATAAAATATTAATTACTACATATAAAAAATATGAATCAACTGTACAAAACAACATTAAAAGAACTATAATGTGAGGTAAGTATAATTAAATCATTTAGTAATGTATAAACAAGTTTCTTTGTTTGAAACTATTTTACCGAATTAAAACCATCATTTATCGTAATATGTTTACTAAAAACTTTTTAATCCAAGCTATCCTTCTAAGAATGTTCTCTTGATATATTTCATGTCAAACATTTATAAACTGTTCTAAATGTCACTCATTCTTCTTCCTCGAAATCGTCCTTTAAATAACAACCTACAGACCTCAAAATTAACTATAAAGCATTAGTACAGTGGATTTAAAAAAATTGTATATGAAATATTATGTGCAAATATTTATTGTCAACAATTATAAGTGCAAAGAGTACCTATAAATAGTATTATTTTTTTTAACCGATACATTTATAAATAGCATTGAAATACAAATTTAAATATATATATATATATATATGTCTATGACAGCTATCTATCACAATAAAAATTGTCAATATATTTATTTAATTGAGAATATATTAAAAAAATTGATAATACTTAAAATAAATTTGATTTTTCGAAAATTATTAAATATATTTTGAATTATTTAATTCCGACATTTTTATTATTGTAATCATAATGATATTTGATAAAATTTTATTTAATTCATATCATTTTAAACATGCAAGTGGTTTATTATTTTAACAAAGTATTGTACAAACAAATGTTTTCTGTATTGTGGTTTAGAGTTGACATAAATCCTAAGTCAACTGAGCTAATAATAAAAAGGACTTTTACATTTGATACTTACTACTTTGACTAAAGGTAACAATTAAAAAATGAATCTTTTGTTGATGTATCCAATGAATAATTTATGAAAAGTAATTTATTTTTTACGATTTAGTTAAATGTTCGTATTTTGATATATGTTAATCTAACCCTTTTAAAATGTATTTCCAAACATTTTTATCTATATAAATTGACAAAAAATTAAATCGATCAAATTTAAATTTAAATGATATTCTTAACATTAATAATACCATATTTATTCTGATTTCTGAACAAAATAAGTGATTTAATTTTTGAATTAATATGATAATACATGACTGTATATGTAACAGCAATGTACGTACTGTATTCTGCTTTTGAATGGAAATTTTGAGTTGTAAAACTCTTTGGCAGTATAATTCTCTATCAAATTCCAAACTCCTTTGCGTTAATGAAAAATTGGACTTTTGGGTGTACTAGTGAAAGTTTCTCTCTTATCATGTAAATCGACTAAGTTTAACCCCAGCATAAGAAGAACTCAGTTTTAATTCACGTCACAACGATATTGCGATTCCTGTTTTATACGTTGGATTTAAATAAAGTACGTATTCTATGATAATATATATTTAAATGAAACGTAAGAATAATGCATAGCCGCACATTTATAATTAGATTAATAATTTAATTTCGACATTTCAATAACAGCTATAGGCTAGTATTTTATTCGTAAAATTATAACCTATTCCAGTGACAAATATTAATTAAACATAATAGGTAGAAAAATAAATCACACAATACTTTGCAGTTTCAGTGAAAAATATATAAACTATTTTTCAGTACTCTTTCCGACCTACATCATCAGGTAACATAACGAAGGTATATAATTGTCGAATAAGTGTTTGAAAGCTTTGGGTTATACTGTGATAACCGATATGCAAATTTGTTTGTATGTGTGTTTATCCCCTTTATTTTAACACAATTTACAGTCAAATACCAATAATTACCTACACGAAACGTAGGGTTGATTAGCGCCTAAGTTCTCCTTTCGAAGTGTTGGGGAAGGCAGTCGGCAAAAGTGCTATCGTCAATCACGTGTCCTATACCCGTATTTTAAAAGTGTTGGACTCTATTATTTTATACCAAATCTATGCATGCGGTATAAAATGTTTGCATTGGAACAAATGAACATAATGGATTTCGACCGTATCAACACACGATGAATTTTATAAATGAAAATATAGTTTAAACCTCGTATTATTTTTATTTTTTATACATATTAGTGTATGTGACCCCGAGTGGTAAATAATAAAATGGAAAAATATGATTCTATCATAATATTGATGTTTTGAAATACGTACAACAAATAAAAATATGAAGTAAAACGCGTTTAAATTTAGTAAATCTCTTTTCTAAATCCAACTGAAACCACTTTCACAAAACAAAAAAATAATAGAACCATTTAATATATATCTGTAACGTATTAATGGATTTTAGAGAAACACTGAGTGCCTCAACACTTGGTAATTAGTGGTTTTAAGGTTTAGGTTATTAGAAAAAAAAATAATTATCTCACATAATATATTATATGTAAAAAAATTGATAATAATGTCATCATTATTTTATTGTTATAGTAAAAAACGGTGTGAATGATATAAAATTTTAAGTTTTTCAAAACCTTTTCTTCACCAAAAACGTTTTAATTTTTCTGTTAACCTACATGCACGGTGGTTTATAGTTTTTGAGACAGTTCAGAAATATATAGGTCTAATTATAATATATATATAATAAACATAAATTATAATGTAGTTATTATAGCAACTAAATAAAATAAAGTATTGATATTCAATAAATTAAAATTACAATTACAATTAACAAAGAAATTATAAAAAGTTATAAAGTAGTTATATATTTGGTATCTCTATAGCAAACATTTATTAAAATTGTAAATATAAATTTATTAAATAATAATAATAATATTGAATAAAAAGCAAGTGTCTAAATCACTTGCTGTTTATTCATAATTTCAATTTTACAATTGAAATTATAATTTATCATAATTAACCATTAGTAGCTGTATTAAGTGATGAAATATATAAAATATTTTACTGACTCTAGTTTAAAACACCATTCCAAAGTGGCCCATTTGACGGTATTACACATTTTCTTTTTTTAGAAAAAGTTATCCCAATAAAAATCTATAAATTATACAGATAATTGTCGAGAAGTTATTAATTAAATAAATTTAAGTTTGGTGAATATACGAATAAATAACAATTTACAGTATTAAGTTTTCTTTAAATACTTGTCATGTTCGTTTTCTATAATAAACAATTTTACTTTTCTGATTATATTTTAGAAATGATTGCAAACTTAAAATTATTGGGAAATTAAATCCATAAAAATAATAATAGTTACAATACAGGCGTTTTCATAATATGAGTATTACTCTTTGATATAATAATTATTGAAGATGATTTATCACTTTTGTAAATACGCTATTCTTTTAACACCATAACAATTGCTTTTTTAATTAATGTACATGATATATGGGAAAATTGTAGGCTATAAACCCTAATATAAATTAACATCATGTTTATTTCACAGATGACACGTAGGTAGATATTTTATACATAAAAATGTAAAATTGACAAACTATAACCATCATGGGAAGCTGTCTGTAACATGTTGCAGTGCAATTTATATTAGCACATCGTAGGCGAGTCACTTTAGACATTCTGTGCATTCAAATATTTTATATGAGTAGCAGTAACACGTGTTTTTAATTGTAAAGTGTAAAAAAAAATGATAAAAAACTCACAATATAGAAATAGAATAGATATATTAATTCATTTTTACGTTTTGTTATGTACATTACTGTAATCTTAACTAAATTTTTATTTCGTTAATATTTATATGTATATATATGTTATTTAATTTGAGTTTAATAAAATTTTATTATTTATAATAAAAATAATATTGAGTAAGGAAAAATTATTTTTTAATAAAAAATAGGTTCGAGGTGTTAACAATGAGTAACTTCTTTTATGTTATGTAATTAAATAAGTAAAAAAAAACTTTTTATCAATTTTATGTACAGATTGTTTTTTAATAAAAAAAATAATAATAATTATAAAAATAAAAATAGGTCACAGATAAAATTAATTTTGCAATTTTGGGAGTAAATGTCTTTCATACAGAGTATTTATTCCAGCTAAAGCATTAAAATACTTTGAATTAAAAACATTTCAAAGTTGAATATCAATTTTAAAAATAAAAATCTTTCAACTAGTTTAATGTTAAATTTTTTTTGAAATATTAAATGAAATAAATAAAAATTCATAATTTAAATCTTGACTTTTCAAAGTTTAGTTTATAACATACGCCATATTATTAGCATTTTCAACTCTAGTAGTAATTAAAACTTATTGATCAGGCTTAGTTAGAAACTGTCATATACTGAATTTGATAAAGCATATGTATTCTTCAAAAAATGTTGAATATTCATACTTTATGAGTAACGCAACTATTTGTTCAAATAATCATAATAATTTTAGACGTCATACTAATACATTCTAAGAATATAATATAAGAAGTAAATAATTTAAATATGGATTTACCATAATAATCTATTATATTCATCATATAAGAAATAAACAGAGCTACTGGATGAATAATAAGAGATAAAATGGCTGAGTATCATACTCTATAGTTTAAAACCTTTTGTATATTGGAATACGACGGCGAAACATTAAGCTACGAGCAAAACAAAGCATTCATCATAAAGAGGTGTACTAAAGGCAAAAGAATAAAATAAATATAAGCCAAGAATTTACACAAT